CTGTCCCCTGGCCCCCCCCCCCGCTAGTGCCCCCCAGCCATGACCTGCAACCCCCCATCCCTGCCAAAGGGGCCCCCAGCCCCCTGCAAACCCCACTTACCTCAGGCTCCAGGAGCGAAGAGTAAAGCTGAGCTGAGCAGAGCTGTGGCTGACTGACAGCCTCAGGCCCTGCCCTTCCCCTCCAGGCAGGGCTGGGGGTTTCCCGCCCTGTTTGCATACAGCTTTGCAGGCTGGAGCGCAGCCAGCCTGCAGAGCTGTTTGCGGAAGTGGAGAATCCACAGGTTTCTCTGCTAAAAAGAGAAATCTGCGTTTTCTCTGATAAAAAGGGGAAATCTGTGGTTCTCTTTGTTTTTCTGTGGGAAACGGGAAACCAGGATCCCTGGTCATCTGCATGAATCCAGGAGGTTTATGTCAGGAGACTTGCATATGTCCCTTCATGACATTTCTTAAAACATTTTCTTTTAAAATTAACTCTTATTTTACAGAATCAAGTCTCTTCTGTAAGCAAGCAAGGATAAAAACTTAAAGTTGATACCCTGCTGGATTTCTTGCATCTGTCAAGGATGCTACTCTGTTCATCCAAGTAGATTATTTCAGATTCCTTAAGTGAAAGCTTTCTACACTCATCTAAACTGTATCTATGCTATGTAATGTAAATGATGCAGTTTAGAAATTCTCAAGTTAGTCAGTTGCTGTGGAGAGAGGGGAATCATATGGCAAAATTGATAGCTCAGCACAGTGTTTTTCCACCCGGTTCTACTACTGAACAATTAAAAGATGTCACCCAATTTACATCAGGCTGATAGCTGTTTGTTCCAGTTAATTACATGTTAGAAAGCAAACTGTTACATTTTTCCAATGCACAGCACAACTCACCTTCTTCCAGGCACAATAATCTAACTGGGTTTCTCTGTACCTTTTCTTGTTTTAGCTGAGAGCTCACTTGTCTTAATTATTTTTAAGACTTCATTATATGTTCTGTAGTTCCATATTTGACTTTGCTACAAAGTGTGATTAACAAAAGCAAACATTTAAGATGATAACATATAATTCAGGAGTATATTAAATTACCTTCTTCATCACATATACACAGTAAAATAACACTTTCTGCTCTTTTCCATTGTGAAAGTAAAATTGGAGGGAAAGTGTATAGAAAAACTGTTTCAGAAACTTCCCCTTGTATAAACCTGCTGTTTGTTAACTCTCTTCAGTCTAAATTGTTCTGTCTTAAATGAGGCTTCCTTCTTTGGAAGATCCAAATGAATGCCAGATTAACTTTTCTGTTGATTTTGGGTTACAAACCCAGACACTTATACTATTGCAAATGCAGCAATGAATCTGAAGGGCCAAACATTACTCTTGCCATGAGTGTGGCTAGTTTCCTCTCTGTTCTGTGGGAGCCCCTACGCTGTCTAAGGGAATTATTTGACTTTAAATGTTCAATGCAAGTTTCCTTCTGTTTATTTTGTGGAAATGGCCAAGGAGAAAGAAACAGCTGCCTTCTCTTTACTTGAATGTGTATCTATGAAAGGAAACAGTTTGGTGTCAGATATTTCCACAATAAATGACCTTTGCCTTTCCAAACACCTAATTTTTAAATAGGTTCCACTACAGCCTAAATTATTTTCTCTTTGGTTAAAGCCTGGGAATTCTAGCTTTAGTGACTTCAACTCCATTTACCAGAAGGTTGCTCTAAACTACTTAACTCTTCTGTGAGAGGTTTATAGATGCATCTGTGAAGGAATATTGAGGAGTTTGCAGAGTAAAGCAACCAATTAATTGGGCTTATTTCATCTGTCTTCTGTTGCCAGCAAAGTGTTTGAATGGTATTGGTAAAACTTTACTTATTTCATACATTACATTTAAATGTGCCTTCTCATTATAAAATAAATGGATTCAAAATGAAAGACAGGGGAGTGGGGAGGGAACTGGTAACTACTGGTATTGGTTTTTGAAACCTTTGAGTACAGGTCTTCAGCAAGGCTGCTGCTTCTTCTAAAACTTGTCAAAATATTAAACTGTTTGGAGATGTCACATTTATTCAGAATTTGGAGGTATGGACTTACCAGCTTCCTTTCTACATTTCCAAAGAACGAATTCTAGTTCAGATTTTGGATATTCTTCTGCTAATGTCTACTTACAAACAAATAACATTAAAGGCTGAAGACTATTTTAGGTCAAATGAGATTTAATGGACATCCCTAATTCATGGTTCCTTTTGCCATATATTACCTGGGCATTCATTTTGCATAGATTGAACATGAATCTTCTTTTCTGTTGGGTCCCAGTCATGCTCCCACTCGCACCTGATGGCAAAACTCCCACTAACTTTCCTGAAAGTAGAATTAGGCTCCTTCCAAAGGATTCCTCTCCGCCGCTCCTTTGTCAACAAAACCCCTACGCAGATTCTAAAGTGCCCGCAGAGCGGATGAGCTTTTGTGCTTCTGGGAAATGTTGCAGCTCATGAGAAGAACACTGTACAAGTGCAGCTTTGGAACTGATATTCCTATCAGTCTGTTTTGTCTCTTTCCATTGCTGAAGGCTGAGTAATTGTTTTTTGGATGTAGAGATACTTGGTGAAATGCCTTGGAATACTGAAGAAAAGCCTTAAAGAATATTGAACCATGTCCAAAACTTCTCTTAGCTGCTTGAAGACCTTGAAGAAAGCCCTTGCATTTATTGGGGAGGAGGGAGAAAATTAAGACAAGTGTGTTCATTCCGATTTTTCATATTCTGATGGTGTCTGTTTCATAGTTTCTAGGGTCGGAAGGGACCTGAGCAGATCATCTAGTCCGACCCCCTGCCATGGCAGGAAGAGCACTGCAGTCAAATGACCCCAGTAAGGTGGTCATCAAACCTCCTCTTAAAAACCCCCAGGGTGGGAGCCTGCACCACCTCACTTGAAAGCTGGTTCCAGACCCTAGCCACCCTGACCGTGAAGTAGCACCTCCTAATGTCCAACTTAAACCTTCCCTCCGCCAGCTTGTGACCATTGTTCCTGGTCACTCCTTGCGGCGCTCGGGGGAACAGGGACTCCCCCAGCACCTGCTGATCCCCCCTAACCAGTTTATAACAGGCCACAAGATCCCCCCTCAGCCTTCTCTTTTGAAGGCTGAACAGGTTCAGGTCCCGCAACCTTTCCTCATAGGACCTACCCTGCTGTCCCTTGATCATACGAGTGGCCCTCCTCTGGACCCTCTCGATGCTGTCCACATCCCTCTTAAAGTGCGGCGCCCAGAACTGGACGCAGTACTCCAGCTGCGGCCTGACCAGTGCCGCATAGAGGGGGAGGATCACCTCCTTGGACCTGCTCGAGATGCATCTGTGGATGCACGACAAGGTGCAGTTGGCCTTCCTAGCCGCCTCCCCACACTGCCGACTCATGTTCATCTTGGAGTCAATAATGACTCCCAGATCCTTTTCCACCTCCGTGCTGACAAGAGGGGAGTTCCCCAGCCTGTATGTATGGTGCCGATTGTTCCTCCCCAGGTGCATCACCTTACACTTGTCTGTGTTAAACCCCATCCTGTTCTCCTCCGCCCATCCTTGTAACCTATCTAGGTCCAACTGTAGCCTGTTGCTCCCCTCTATTGTGCCCACATCCCCCCACATCTTAGTGTCATCAGCAAACTTGAACAGGGTGCTTTGCACCCCCTCATCCAAATCACTGATGAAGATGTTGAACAGGGCGGGCCCAAGGACCGAGCCCTGTGGGACCCCACTTCCCACGTCCTTCCAAGTCGAGAAGGACCCATCCACTACCACCCTCTGGGTGCGACACTCTAACCAGTTGGCGACCCATTGGACTGTATGGGTGTCTACCTGTTTCTCAGGTTACTTAATATTAATGGTCTCTTATCATGTTTTCTCTCTACCTTTATTGTGTAAATGCTTACTGTGGACTTTCTGTGCATTTGGTTTCCTGTTTCAGTTGCTTTTTAAAAAAAAAATGGACTCTAGCTGGTTGGCTTTAAAAAAGGGTTTTAGGCTCTGATATTCTAATTTGTGTGTTTGTTGTGGTACCCTTGTTCCATTAGGAACTCTGAGATTCAGACGTAATTTTCTGTTGAGTTTCCCTTGAAAATTTCACTCATACTTAATGCCTCAGATGCTGACTTTAACTTAGCTGACATTTGCTAGTTAGATATATTTACTGGAGCCTAGTTAACATAGGGAAAGGGAATGGTAAAATCTACAGTTCCTTTCAATCCCTGATAAAGGCAATATTTTGCTTTTTCCTTAATCACTAATCAACAAGGATCTGCAGTGCATTACAACATGGGGAACAAATTACATTTACATTTTTAGTTTTTCTTGCATGTTATGAAAGATAGATTTGATTCAGCAGTGCAGTCCATTCTGACACAGCCAGGTTGTCCAAACTTTAGTTTAGAACGAAAATTCTAGCAGCACCATCTGCAGCTTTGTTTTAAGTAATTTAAAATGTTGGGGGGGCAGTTCTTGAGAGAAGGTGAGGTGCTTGGTAAAGTCAGGTCACCTTGGCAAACAGTGTCCTTTATACACATGGAGGGATGGGGTAGGCTATTTGCACCTTTCAGGAGATGCACTTTTAACTGGCTCAGACATGCATAGATTTTAAGAATGTTTACATTTGTACACGTTTTACTGACCTGTCATGGATTTTAATGTGAATTTCATAAAGGTGGTTGCCCTATAAACATTCCAGGGCCACAGAAAGCTGGAGGTGTGGATGGATAATATGTTAGTTGATGAACTCTTCACTCTGATTTGAGAAGCTTTTTCCAAGGATTTCTTGCAGGGATCAGAAATGAGAATTTTCCTGCAACTCATTTTGTGTGATTTTTAAAGTGAATCTGTGTGGTCAAGCTAATATTGTATTAAAGAGTAACTGAAATCGCCTAACTGCTTTCACTTCATTGTATTGCATTGTTTTGTTTGAAATAAAGTATTTTAAGAATCTAAGGAAGAAAAGTTCTCGCTTGTAAATTTTCTGTATTGTATTCTTGGAAAAGTGCCACAGTATCATCAGTTACCACAAATTTGATTTACTGAGCAAGACAACCAACCTGAAGCATCAGTGAGACCCCTTGTGATAATCTGGAAAATCTTTCTAATGCCCGGTGTAAGATTATATTTTATACTGGGAGCCTCTGTGTAAAAACTCAGTTTCAAATGCTGAGCTTATTTGCCTTCTCTCTCATCTCTGTCTTGGGTTGAAATGCCATAAGATGGACATTGGGCTAACAGTGGAGTATAGATAAAATTTGTCAGTCTTTACTTAAATGGTGATACCCTTGGATCCCAAGGGAGGTGACTTAGCTTGACTAAAATACCCCCAGTCTATCTAGGCAGACCTGTTAAGTAAGCAATGGATCATATGATTATAAATTTTGATCACCTGATGAAGCTGCTAGAGGCGGTCACCTTGCTTAGAAAATTGCAGTTCATAGTTTCATAGTTTCTAGGGTCAGAAGGGACCTGAGCAGATCATTGAATCTGACCCCCTGCCATGGCAGGGAAGAGTACTGCATCAAACGACCCCAGCAAAGTGTACATCTAGCCTCCTCTTAAAGACCCCCAGGGTAGGAGCCAGCACCACTTCTCTTTGAAGTTGGTTCCAGAAGTTCTCTTAAGGCTCTTTTCAGTCACTTTAGAGAGAAGAGACCTGAAACAACAAGGCTATTACAGGGCAAGTGGGAGAGCCTGGAAACCTCAAGGGACTCTGATCTAAGCCAAAGAATCCCTGGAGTACTTAGGAAAATGAGGCAGGTCAGATGTCTTTTCCTTTAGCTTATGTTTGTTTGACTCTAGCAAAGAGATGGAGTATCTTGTATTGGTGTTGCATGCTTCCTTTCTCAGGTGGCATTGGTGGAAAGAATGGCCTTCCTGAACTCCTGCAAGGTTGAAGCACTGAGACTGCTTATGTGGTTGGGGTTTCTTGAGAGAATGTGCCATCGTTGCTTAGGGCATTTGGGTCATAAGGTCCTACTTCTTCAGTGGCATACCAGCCTAGAAGTGTGCCAGAGAAATCAAGGAAAGAGTGGCTGTGTCTACACGTGTGCTTTACTGTGGAGTAGACTAATTATCTGAGGAGTAAAGCATCACCATGTACACATGACAGTATTAGGCCACAGTGAACAAATTTATGCTACAGTAAGATAGTACTGTCAGATCTTAGACCAGGGCAATTTACTGTGATTAAATACATATGTAGATGCTAACCACAGGTGGAAATTGCACCAAGGCAGCAGGGAGCCAGACTCCTGCCTGCTGCCTAGCCTCACAGCTCTGCAGTTTTGTTTTGTTTTTTTTAGCACCCTCAAGCCCCAGCCAACCCTTCCACAACCTGACACCACCACCCAGAGCCCAGGGCTGAGCAGTCCTGGTGTAAACTGCTCTGCCCCGGCTTAAATTGCTGCTGTCCCAGATGCACAGGTAGATGCTGTACCTGGGTGTAGTTTACTTTGGCTCAAACTGCTCCAGAGTTTATTGCTTCAAATTAATTGCATGTATAGATGCACCTAGGGCTGCTCTTGAGTGGAGTCAGTGGAAGCAGTTAAAATAGTGATTCTCACTCAGGATGCTCTGAGATCCTTTCAAGGATGCCATGGGGTACCACACAACATTAGCATTGTAGATGTGCAAACATGATTCACAGGGTAAGCCCAAAGATTTCAAATACAAATCCATAGTTGTGATCTTTCCGAGTTCTTTGCAACAGAAAAAAACTATGCTATTTTTCTATAGTGAAAAAAGTGAAAATGTAAGAGCTGGTATTTTCTAAGGACAGCCTAAGTCTATCCAGGGCTGCCTGAGGTCTAAAACAGTTAAGAACTACTCTCAAAAAAGCACACAAGTCCATTATATGGGATCCAAACACAACAATGTGGTGAGTGCCCAGTCAACATGGCATATACCCAGAGGTATGACTCCTAAAGTCATTCTGGGAAAGCTCTGACTCATTGAAGTTTGGAAAGAAATGAGCCAGAGTTATCACGCACCCCGAGACTTTGCATTTGTTCACAATTTAACATCTGACTATTCCCTGGAAGTTCCTTGATAAATGATTACATGGTATGACCCATGTAATTCGAGAGATGACCTGATGCATAGCCAAAGATGAAATGGTGCAATTTCCTACTGTGTACTGCACTCTCTTTTCCAACAGCAATCGCTGCTGCTGATAACATAGACTCTTCCTTTGAGCTGAAATAACCGAGCAGTTAAAGTGGTGACTGGTTCACTTCAAAGACTGAACTATCATTACAAGCAAATGTTTCTCCAGCTGGAAACACTGTTAGAATCAAGTATGTGCAGCTTGTTTCTGCTTATATTTTGTTCTCATCTGCAAAGTAATTGCTGCGCAGGGTAAGAGGGGAAAATTGACCTTAGGAAGTCATACTTCCACTGTTGGGGGAAATTTGGAGGCAGGGAGGTTGTGGAGCCAGGGTGAGTTAGTGGCACTCTTTCATGACCCACTCCAATGAGAGATGATTCACAGAACTGTCGTGCAGGTGTTATCACAGTAGGCCCATATGCACTCTCAGAGCTCTGTTTCCTGTCAGTGGGATATGAATCAGCTTTGGGCTCAGGTTGTGCCTCTTGAGCATGGTGCACCCCCTGTAGGAAATCAGATGTCCCCTCGGGGTTCTGCTTGACTCTGCTACTCTTTTTTATTTTATTCTCTTTATGTGCAACCAAGAGTCCTCCCAGACCCACTCAGTGGTGCTTTCAAAATTGGCTGTTAACTCCTTGTACATTGTGCAGATCTGTGTAATCCAAGCCCCTCTCTTTTCCTTGCCTCCTCTGAAAAGTGAGCAGTGTTGACATCTGCATTATTATGCATGCCCTGATACAACATATCTGAAAGTGAACATTAAGAAAATTATCACAGTTTGTGGTGCTTGGACAGTTGTGCTAATACCTTATGGATGCTGTATCTAGGTTTCCTGTGCATTTTCTTTGAAACAGACATACACCTTTTTTCCATTGTGCAGTTGAATTTTTCTGGTCGCTCACAAGTTCATGATGGCTATGCTGCCTAGAGCAGGAAAGGGCAAAGATCTAGCTTAGTAAAGTAGAATGCATGTCTGTATCAGAAACAAGTTTCCAACTTTATTTTCCTTTTACACAGTAAAAATCAGAATGAGGCTCAAGTTCTCCATTCCTGATGGAAGTTAATGCCTAAAAGGAAAAAAACCCTGGGTTATGGAGAGAGTCCACACTACTGCAATTGCGTGTCAGTGATAAAACTTTCATGTGCAGGATGCACTTGATCATGGATGGTATGTTTAAATACACCCCCAGAGATCAAGTTCTAGTCACAGGATAGTTTATTCATTCAAAAATGGAGGAGACTTTCCTAAAAGACTTTTCTGTGTTTCAGACCTGCTTGAATGTCATCAAAGAAGGTCTGTTTGTCAAAATGGCTTTCTTCTATGGGTAAGTAATGGTTCATACTTCCCCTCCCCTCTCACCCAGCCTCTGTATCTTAGTTTTCTTTGGAACCATTCTGTTGCGTGTTGTCTGAAATGTTAGTATCACGTCTCCAGAGCTCTGAGCTGAAACCACTACAGCAAAGTCTGTGAAATACCTGGCTATTTGCAAATAATACTGAAATCTTAGATGAAGAGTTGGGAATGTGATCAGACACAAGGGACCAAAAGCATACAATATGTTTCCCAGCTTTCCCTCCTCAATCTTTCCCCACTTTCTGAAAAAAAAGCCCCCTTATTTCCTGCCAACAACTCTTCCCTTGGGCTTGAGAAATTAGACTGGTCAACAGCATTGCAACATTGTTCAAATAACTGCCTTCAGCAGTTTCTCCCCTGTGGAAAAAGGAACTGTGGCCAACATGCTTTGCAAAGTGTTCTGCAATCTGGTGTTGTGAAGAAAGAATTTGCTGTTTTATTTGTATGCAAACATCTAGGCTTTAAATATGTTTTAGGGCCCACAGCTGTAAGAACTGGGGAGTGAGGTGCATTGGAAGTCTTTCTTCACTTTTATAAGGAAGAGATATTTTACTCAAAAAAAGAAAAGACTTGGATTCAGAAACCCGGTTCTCCAAGCATGGGTAGATAATCCTTTAGTCACTGAACTT